ATCTTGAAGTAGTTTTTTCCTAGACGTATCAAATTTCCAGGTCATGCTTGAAGATCTTTGATCTGCTTCCCGTTGATTTTTGCACAGGGCAGGAGGTAGGGTGCTAGTTTCTTCTGCTTGTAGAAGTCCATTTCCCAGCACAGGACACCTGCTCTCTTGATCCCCCACACCCACCATGCCGTACATTCTATGCACGCCTGTTTTTCTTTGTTTACTGCCTCTTCTTGTGTTTGAATGGAAGCTCTCCGGGGGCAGGGCTTTCTTTGTTTGTTATCTTATATTCCCAAGCTTTGGAATCCTGTTTGCACGTAGTAGGGACTCGGCACATATGAATTAATGAACGGATAACTTTTCATGATTCCATGAGAACGTATAGGGAAGGAAAGGTGGGGACCACTTCACCAAGCACACACGCTTACAATGCTGTCTGAATAAATAGACTCAACCTGGTAGGGGTAGATTGTGAGTGTGGCAGGGACAGGTGTTCCAGACTGCCCTAGTTAGGGGTCTATGGATGTGGTTCAGGTACCAAGGTCAAGAGCAACTTGGGGAGGAAAGAGTTTATTTCCTCTTACAGCTGGTAGTCCATCCTCAAGGGAAGTCAAGGCAGGAACATGGGAAACTTAAGACAGGAACTGTCTTCGGATTTCTATTGCTGTGAAGAGACATCATTCTCATGGCAACTCTTATAAGGAAAACATTTAATTGGGGTGGCTCACTTACAGTTTCAGAGGGTCAGTCCATTATCCTCATGGTGGGGAGCATGGCGTCATGCAGGCAGACATGGTGCTGGCTACATCTTGATATGTAGGCAACAGGAGTTCGACTGAGACATTTGGCAGTATCCTGAGCATAGGAAACCTCAGAGCTGGCCCCTACAGTGACACACTTCCTCCAACAAGGCCATACTCACTCCAACAAAGCCACACCTCCTAATAGTGCCACTTTGTATGAGCCTATGGAGGCCAATTACATTCAAATTACCACAGGAACCTAGAGGCAGAAACTGATGATGCAGAGGCCATGGAGGGGTGCTGCTTACTGGCTTGCTTCCCATGACTTGCTCAGCCTACCTTCTCATAGCACCCGGGACCATCAACCCAGGGGTGGTACCACCCACAGTGAGCTGGGTCCTCCCACATCAATCATCCATCAAGAAAACGTGCCATAGGGTTGTCCACAGGCCAATCTGGTAGGGGCATTTTCTCGATTGAGGTTCCTTCTTCCAAAATGACTCTAGCTTGTGTCACATTGACCCGAAACTAGCCAGCCTGTAGACCACAGATGTGTGCAAAGGCCTGGAGACTGGAAGGGAGTGTTGAACTTGAGAAACTGAGAGAAGGCCAGTGTTGGAACATGAGAGGAAGCTTGTGCAAAGTGGGCAGGAACTAGGCCTTGCAGAGTCTGAGGGAGCATGGCCAGTCTCTGTCCTTGGTTGTAAGAGCAGAGGAAACCCTTGGCCACAAGGCAAGACATGATTAAATTGACATTTGGAAAGCCCCCCCTCTCCAATCCAATTATCATTGCTAATGATGATGAGGAAAAAATGCTTGCGTCTGTATAGTACAAACAATATTTTCCTATCCTCCATGCTAGCCTGTTTATTGAATCTGTCAGCAAAGGCTGCCAGACACGAAGACAAAGTACTCCCTTCTTAGAGGATCTGTCCCCTGAATCCCAAATCAGGTCACATGGTCAGACAAAGGATATTTAAAAAGTACACACAAAGCTACATATTCTAATCACATTTAATTATGCATTTGACAAATGGCCTCAATTAAGACACCACAACGTGCTCAGCTGTCGTGACTGTTGCCGAAAGTTAGACAAAAGGTATTTCGGGAAGGAAGCCCCATTGCAAGACCCTGTCACTCTTTAGAGAGCGATGTGTGCTAACATCCCGAGGCTGGAAGTTCAATCTATCATGACCCTAATCTGAAAGTCAGTCAAAGTTATTATCCCTTAGAAAAACAGAGTGGCTTTCCTGTGATTCCAGGGCTGACTCCTATGGTGGGGTGGTCAGGAAGGTCTGAGACCACTACCCAGGAGGGGCCCAGGGCTCAGGGTCCGTTCTTTTTGAGCCAGGGTCCCTTCAATGAGCTGTCGGCTATAAATTGGAGCTCAGGGATGGACGCAGATTTTTCTGTTTAGGAAAGACACTGGGGAGATGTAGCTCAGCTAGTGGGGTGCTTGCCTACCACGCACAAGACCCTGGCCTCCCTCTCTAGCACCACACAAAACCAAGTGTGTTGGTGATGCCTGTAATCCTAGCCCCAGGGTCATGGAGGCAGGAGGATCACAAGTTCAAGGTCATCCATGGCTACACAGCAAGTTTGAGGCCAGCTTGGAGTACATGTGATTCTATTTCTAAAAACAAAACTAATTTTTAAAAAGGAATACATGACATGAATGAAGAGGCTGAACTAGGCCTGCAAGTGAGGTCACTAGGTGTGACCTCGCCAATTGACTGACAAGCTTGAGAATCCTTCTAGAGTTCTCCTGGGGAAAAGTGGGAAGAGAGGGCGGTTTTCTGGAGCAGGCTTAGAAAGAAGTGGGGCAGCCTCCAGGGATGGGAGGATGCTGGGGACATCAGTGAGTCACCCTCCCCTCTGAGGTGTTAGGAGCCACATGGAAGGACTGGGAAATGGGAGGTTGAGGCTGGCTTCTTAACCGCCTCTCGATGGGGAGGGAGAAGGCTTTTCCCTGAAGCCGAGGGCTGCTTGTCTCTTCCACAGGGAGGAAACCCTTCCCCACACTGGATGTGGGGTTCAAGAGCTTTTCAGATTAAAACGTGAGAATTACCAGATTCTGAGGCTGGCTTTCCTGTTGACCCAGGAAGACTCTGATCTCTGAGCAGGAGGCTTTGAGGTGTGCTCTCCTGACCCGTCAGGCTTCTTTCTCCACACTTTGGGCAACAGTGATCCCAGGACGGAGAGCTGGGGAGACAGCTCAGTCTGCAGTGCTTACCATGGGAGTACAAGGACCTGAGTTTGATTCTAGGCCAACGAAGAGACCCTGTCTCAAAAAATGAGATGGCTGACATCCGAGGAACAATACCCAAGGTTAACCTTTGGTGGACACACATGCATGCATGTAGGTGTGCACTCCCCTCCAAACATACACACACAGATCAATGGATCAATTGGATTCTCATATGGGTGTGGTGGTATACACTTTTAATCTTAGCACTCATGAGGTAGAGGCAGGTAGATCTCTGAGTTCAAGGCCAGCCTGGTCTACAGAGTAAGTTCTCTGCCAGCCAGGGCTACATTGAGACCTTACTCCAAACAACCAAAAGAGTCTTTAGATGATGACTAGTGACCATGGCATCCTAAAGGGTGAGTCTGGGTTTCCTGACAACTGCTCACTCTGCCCTCTTTTTCTTAATGAGGGTAGATTCCAGAAATGTCTCCGTTTTCCTAACAGTCCTCCAATAATCTGAAAGGGATGTTTGGCATTTCAAGGCCTCTTGTCCTCTGAGGCTACTGAGCTCCATTGTTCCTTCATTCATAGTGGAATCCCTGAGTGCCCACCCTCTGCCAGACCTGGAGGCAGACAAAACTGCCAGGCATGAGTACCATGTCGGCTGCAGCCTTGTGCCAGGACGGAGAATATTCCTGAGTTTTATGAGGCCTGAGGTTTGTAGAGTCTGGGAAAACAGACTTTAAGAAGATTACAGAATCATGAAGGAAAGCCCTGTGTCCCTTCCAGTGACATTTGGCAGGAGGAAATGGATGACTGAGAGAGGCCATTGTGTGAAAAAAACAGTAGGTTTAACTGATTGCTCTTGGTGTGCTTTGCAAGACGTGACCATGTAAACCCATCGATGGAGACTCCGTGAGAGCCTTGGGAAGGGCTTACACATCCGTGTCTCCATCCCTTTGTTCCCCCCTCTCTAGGGAGGAGCAGGAGAGACGGATAGTTCCTGGAGTACCCTTGGCTTCAGGGAGGACCTTCTTTTGATGCCCACACTGCAATGCCACTCCATCACAGTACTATGAGGTTCATGCTGTCCTGACTTCATTTTCCTAAGGAAGAGCTGGAGACGCCGGGAGGTTGGGCACTTCTCAGGCAGCTAGAGTATGGCAGGCAGGGCTTTAAACCAGGTTATCCTGAGCCCAGAGTACACCTCCAGCCTGCTCTTGGCCTCTTCTTGGAACCCGTTATGGTTCCCCAGAGGAGCGAAACACACACAAATGTTCCCTCAGTTCATCCAGTCTCTGGAATGTTTCTTCCGCATGGAGGTCACCCCATCTGTATGGAACATTCCTCTCCACTCTTAACACAGCGCTCACAACTTTATTTTTATTTTAAACTGTATGTATGTGCGTGTCTATAGGTGCACGTACACATGAGTGAGAGTGTTCACAGAGGTCAGAGGTGTCAGACGCCTGGGAAGTTTGAGTTCCAGTTGGTTGTGAGCTGTCTGACGTGGGTGCTGGGAACTGAACTCTGTCCTTTGCAAGAGCAGGACATGTTCTTAACCACCGAGCCGTCTCTCCAGCGCCTCCATAGCACTTTTCATCATCTGACATATTATGTATTTATTTTCTGTCCCCACCTTCCCGTGTAAGGGTGTGAGCTTTGTGAGGAGAGGGACCCGTGTGTTTTGTGGCTGTCATATCACTAGGACACTGGTAATGCAGAAAGCATTTTGTACGTAGGTCTTGAACTAACTAATGAATGAACTTAGCAGTTATGGTACCAGTCTGGTTTTGGCAAATACCTGAAGAATGTCACACTCAACAGGTGTTCAAGTGGTTAGAAGACTGAAAAGCTTCCAGACCAGGAACTGGAGACTGGCTGGAGAAGGACGGCTAAGCATGCGTATGTATGCATATATATATATATGTGGCGGGGGAAGGTACGGGATGGTGGCAGTCCAGCAGGCTGCTTGGCATGCCTCCCAGCCTTGTCAGCCTCCTTGGATGTGGGCCTCTGTGCTATATTCACACATCATCTAAGTGGGTTCTTAAACACAGGCACCAGCTACCCAGGGATGCTATGGTCTCCTTCCTTGGAGATCTTTAAAAATAGTCGGAAGCGCTCAACTGTCCCATATTACTGAGGAAGGGAACTGCTGGCAGTACTGCGCTCACAGTGTGTCGGGCACTGTGAGTGTCGTCTCGTGCCGTCCTGTCGGGGCTTCCGTGAGGTTGACTCTCTTCCCCTGAGTCCCATTTTGCAGATGGTGACAGGTAAGTGACCTTCCGGCCTCTGACTGCAGAGCCTGTAGCCTTCTTGGTACCCTGGAGGCTCTTGCAAATTTCTCTTGTAATCCATCCTTTTTTAGAACTTAACACATTCTAGATTAGAATAGTACGTGGTACGCTAAGAGACTGACATTAACTACCAGACTTGTCATAACAATGATGGCAGGGGCTGGAGGGATGGCTCAGCAGTTAAGGGCACTGGCTGTTCTTCCAGCGGACCCAGGTTCGATTCCCAGGATTCACATGACAGTTCACAGCAGGCTGTAAAATTAGTTGTAGGGGACTTGACCCTTTCTCAGGCCACCATGGGCCCTGCACACGTGGTGCACAGTCATGCAGGAAAAACACCCACACACATAAAAACAAACAAACAAACGAAAAACCCCTTACTTAAAAGAGCAGCAAGGGCAAAAGACGTGACTGTAGTCATGTGACTGAATTATTGATTTTAGAGTGGTATTTTAAAGGCAGGGGTTTAGACTTGGCTCATGTTCCTCCTTCAGTATTACTCTATTCTTCTTTGTGTGTCTGTGCATATGCATGGGTATGCAGGGCACCGGGGCCTGTGTATGCACCAGAGGTTGATGGTGTGCGGGGCACCAGGGCCTGTGTATGCACCAGAGGTTGATGGTGTGCGGGGCACCGGGGCCTGTGTATGCACCAGAGGTTGATGGTGTGCGGGGCACCGGGGCCTGTGTATGCACCAGAGGTTGATGGTGTGCGGGGCACCGGGGCCTGTGTATGCACCAGAGGTTGATGGTGGATGCTTTCCTCAGCCACTCTCCTTAGTTTTCAATGATTATTTTATTTATTACTCTCTATACATGTGTACACATGTGTGTATGTGAATGAATGTGGGCGTGCACATGTTACAGCATGTGTTTAAAGGTCAGAGGGCAACTTCTGGGAATCAGTTCTTTCCTTGCACCATGGATTCTAGATTTTTCAGCTCACGTTGTTATGCTTGTATGGCGAGTGCACACCCAGTGGGCTATGTCAATGGTCCAACATCTTATTTGGTTGAGACAGGGTCTCTCATGGAACCCAGGGTTTAATGATTCAGTGAGGCCAGCTGGCCAGAGTACCTCAGAGATAGACCTCTGTCTCCTCAGTGTGGGGGTTACAGATGTGAGCCACCACCATGGCCGTTTTTTTGTGTTTGTTTTTGTTTTTGTTTTTTTTTTTAAAGTTTGAATCCTGGGGATCCAGGCTCAGGGCCTCATGCTTGTGGAGCAAGCCCTTTCCCGATGGCCTGACTGAACCACCTTCCCAGACTTAGCGCTTTTCTGTTTACAGAGAAGTGGTGTGAGTGTAAATTGTGTCCCCTACAGTAAGTCTAAGAGTGAGCATTAAAGAGGTCACTGAATTAAAGAGGTCACCCCGGGATCATTGCATCCCCGAAGTGGAGGTGCTGCTCCATGACGGCAGTGATGACTCGGTACACGCCATGTCAGGGAGACAGATGAGTACGGAGGCAGGGAAGGGAAGGTGAGGACTTGGAAGCCACCTCAACTTGACCTCTTATTCTTGGCATTAGAGAAACAGTGTGCGGTTGACACAAGACATCCCTGGGTTCATAGCCTGTCACCTACTAGCTGGCTGCCTGTGAGAGTGAGACACTCTTTTCTTTTCTGCTCCCCATTCTTGAGTCACATAAAACAGAAAGTAGCTATAGCCCGAGCTGAGGGAACTCAGATTCCTGAGCTGAGAGACAAGCTCTGCCAAGCTCCGCTGCTCCCTCCCTCCCACCCTCTAGGCAGGGTGCTTTGATGGTTGTTTCCACTGTGGCAATATCCACTGAGGGAGGGGGCTCTCTGAGGCAGATATCAGAAGCACAGGTTAGTCATGGCTAACTGAGCCTCGGCTCATGGGTCTGTAAAATGGGCTGATGGCACCTCCTTACAGAGGCTTGTGTGTAGGGATCAGAGGAAGGTCTGAGTGAATGTGTATTGTTGACATAGGCATGACCATGTTGAGCTCTCCAATGCCTCAGTCCCATGGGAGTGGCAAAGCTTTACCTCTGTGAGGCTCACTAGGGGTGGCAAAGCTTTCCTCCAGAGTCCAAATGGGAGTGACCAGTGTGTGCAAAGACTAGCAGCTTCTTCCTTCTGATGTTTACAGCCCCAAACTGCTCATCTACAGAGACCTTCTATGAGACTAGCTAGCCCTCCCCCTGTGCTGTGCATAATAGACATGTTGAGGTTCTGTAGGGTAGTAGCAGACCCCCACCTCATCCCAGCTTTATTGTACCCATGTCGGTGTATGTGACCTTTCTTCATTCCCTTACCATCCCTACTCAGGGTTCCAGGACCCAAGCTGAGTGGCTCTCAGCACTAGTTATAATGTACAAGCTGGTGTGTCTAAGCCAGTGTGTGCACAAAGCCCTCAGGACAGTCACTAGTCAAATGCTTAATATTCCTTTTGCAGATGGCTCATTGCGGTGATATATTGTGGGGAATCACATGCTTTTAATCCCAGTACTTGAGAACCACACACCTTTAATCCTAGCACTCAGGAGGCAGAGATCCGTCTGTGAGTTCAAAGCCACCCTGGACTACATGAGATTGATTCAGTCTAGGAGAGAAACAGAGCCAGGCAGTGGTGGCACACACTTTTAATCCCAATACTTGGGAGTCACATGCCTTTAATCCCAGCATTAGGACGGTTGATACAGGAAGTGATGGCTGGGTAGAGAAAGGTATATAAGGTGTGAGGAGACAGGAACTAAAGGCTTTTTCAGACTGAGGAGTCCAAGAGGTAAGACATGGCAGTGGCTTATTCCTTTGTCTCTCTGATCTTTCAGCAATTAACCCAGTAACTGGTTCCAGGTTTTTATTAAAAGAACTTTTAGAATTCAAGCAACAGCTCATGTTAACTTTTATTTACCCAATTATTGATTCCAGTGTGCAATTTTAAAAGGAAAAAAGCGTCTAAGTATGGTAGTGTCATGCCTGTATTCCAGCATTTGGGAGGCTGAGGCAAGAGGATCTTGATTTCTTGGTCTAGGTTATATAGCCATGTCTTAACTCTAAATAAATAAGTACAGCTATCTCCATACAGCCATAGCAATATCAGTGATTCTCTTAATTTCTCTCCTTCTTCTGTTCTTACGGGGGAAGGTGGCACAGGCTTGTAGTCCCGGCCCTGGGGAACTGGAGATAGGAGCATCCCTGGGGCTGACTAGCCAATCAGTTTAGCCAAATCAGTGAGCTCCAGGTTTAGTGAGAGACCCTGTCTCAAAAACTAAGATGAAGAATGATAGAGGAAGAAACCTGACTGGTCTGTGGCTTGTACATGAACACACACACACACACACACACACACACACACACACACACACACACGCATGACTTAAACTGAAATAAACAAAATAATAAAATCTTTTCCACATGCATGGCTACAGAGAAGAGTAAGCCTGGGGCCGTGGGCCACGCCTTTAATCCCAGCACTTGAGAGGCAGAAGCAGGTGCATCATTGTGGGTTTGAAGCCAGCTTGGTCTATATATTGAGTGTCATGAGAGCCAGAGTTACATAGAGAGAACCTGTCTCAAATAAAGGGGTGTGGAGAGGACAAGGACAAAGATGGAACACAGCACTTTGTTTCTGTAAGGCAAGGACCCTCCCTTTGAGCTACATGGCCAATCCAGCAAATAATAATTTCTTGATATCTTTTAATATGTCCCATTGTCATAGTTACTTTCTACTGTTGTGATAACACACCAGGACCAAGGCAACATACAGAAGGAAGAGTTTATTTGAGGCTTCCAGTTCTAGAGGAGTCCATCACCACCATGGTGGGAGCACAGCAGTCCATCACCACCATGGTGGGAGCACGGCAGCAGGGGGTGGGCATGGCTCAGGAGCAGCAGCTGAGAGCACCCATCTCAATCCACAAACAGGAAGCAGAGACTTACCTGAGGATGGTGAGAGGCTTTTGAAACCTCAAGCCTGCCCGCAGTGACACACCTCCTCCAACAGGGCCACACCTCCTAATTTTTCACAATTAGCCACCAACTGGGGACTAAGTTAAATGCCGGGGACTTATAGGGGACCATTCATTCAAACACCACACTCTATTCACATTTCCTTAGATTTTACTATATAGCCCTGACTGCCTTGGAATTTGCTATGTAGAACAGGCTGCCAACTCCTGAGCGCTGGGATTAAGGGTGTGTCCACCACATCCAACTCCTTGATGACTTTGAAATCCCACCAGGAAACTCGGTTGCCCAGCCCATCCTCTTCACGGGCTCATGGAGGATGAACTTACTGCCATATTTGCCTAAGCCAAACAGAACTGGAAAGGTTACATCGGTTACAGGGGAAGCCCGTGGACTGCATTTCCAGACTACGTAGAGTTCACTCGAAGTTCCCTGCTGTGGTGTATTCAGGTCACCCTCTCCCTGGGTGCCTGCTGTATTTAACACTGCCACGGTTAATGAAAGCTTTTGTAGTTAAACACGCACATGGCATCCTCTTTTCCTCCAGGCTGCATGTCCTGATCTTGCAGCATAGTTCAACAAACATTTATCCAGTGCCCGTTATGTGCACGTTTCTCCTTATAAACTTCACTGTGGAGAACTCATGTTGAACTTCAGAGCTGTTTATTCCCCCTCCTGGTAAACCTGATTTGATTGTCTAAGATAGGAGGGAAGGAACAGCCACATTACAGCCTCACCATGGGTGGAAGGGGGCCTCCAGCGGCTTCTGGCACAACAATTTTACAATTTAAACATGAAAATTAACGAAGTGGGGTTTTTTCCTTTTAATTTTTTTTAATAATTTTTTTATTTCATATGCATTTGTGTGCATGTGTTTTGTCTGCATGTATGTCTGTGTGAAGGTGTCAGATCCCCTGAACCTGGAGTTACAGTTGTGAACTGCAATATGAGTGCTGGGAATTGAACCCTGGTCCTCTGGAAGAGCAGCCAGTGCTCTTAACCGCTAAGCCATCTCTCCAGCCCTTATTTTTTAAACTGCCTATG